AGAGGGGTTGATTGCTATTCCCCATTTTCTTCAGAAAACACCAAGGCTGCCCTCACACTAAGAGCAGGTCAGAGTTTCTTCTCCACCATTTTCAAATCCAGCCCGTTTCACTCCTTATTTCACCAGATTGAACCAAGTGCTTCCATAGAAAAAATGCAGAAGACACTTCCCAGCAGTAAGGCAGTAAGGAAGAATTGAACAGTGTTTGCTATCAGTTGTAAATTTAGTTCATCATAAAGCACTTAGAAGTGGGTTTGCTCACAATATTAGATTTGGGAAATGGCATATGGCATATCAAGTGATTAAGGCTGTAAACTGTACATTTAAGGCCTGCTCATAATGAAGTTCTTGAGAATTTTGCAATTAATGGGAGAATTGGGCCTTTCATAATCTATTTAAGCAGAATACATCATGTGCCATGATAAGCTCCACAGCAAACAAGCTGTCCAGGCATTTGTGTCCCGTTGGAACCCAGAAGCCCTCTGAATTGCAAAGGGCCCCTTGCCCTGACTATGTTTCAGAGCCGGGGGACAATGGGGCGCAGGCAGGCGGGTGTCTTCACAGATGGCCAAATGTTCTGAGTGCAGCAGCGTGATGTCCCCAGTGCCCACCTTCTGACAGCCACCCAGCACAACTGTTTGCTTTATGCAGTGAGCATTTGTCATTCTGGTTTTGTGTGCTATTCAAAATTTTGTGAGAACAACTTCATACCGGAGCGCTGCTCTCACGCAGTCACATCCTGCTCTCCCTCTGCTCACCCACAGCTTATGAATTCCTGCAAATAAGGAATTTTAATGGGAGTGCTGATTCAGCCTGAACTTTGCTGTACCAGCATAGAGTGCATTGAAAAGATGAAATAAAAGGACCTTACAAACTCCAGCTCTGTGTGCCTCATGATTTTCTCTAGGGAACAACCTGGCAAGTTATCTGACAATACTCATCCAGAGAAGCTCTCGGTTTGCCTGTGTGCAGTGCATGCCAATGAGGTCTGGAATAAACAAGCCATGCAGCAAAGCGGTGTATTATTTATGCATCGTCACATTCATCTATATATAACAATTGGTCCTAAATAGAAAAAACAGGTATCGATATTGCCTACGTGCTGGCTCCAGGGAGAAGCTTGAGGGAAGAAGGCAGAATTTCAGTAATAAGGGCTCTTTTCCTCCTACTGATGTAAACAAACAGCCTGTGCCATTGTAGCAATGTTTATGCCAGCAAATACCCTGAGGTGTTGCACAGAAATCAATCTGTGAGGTCAAGCCCAGGCCTCGCTGTATGTTTGGGGCTGGGGGTGAAGGGTGAGGTTATTAGATGGGTAAACTCTTCTAATTTGTCAGAGCACAGCTCATGAAACCCTATCTTCCAAGCCCTGAATACCATGCCGATTACAGCTTGGTTCGATCAAATTCAAGGGCAGGAGAAATTGCAGGATGGAAAGCAAGTAGAATTGGCTGCAAGCTGCATGAATACGTGTTCAGAGAAAACTTCTGCAGTGGAGTCAACTGGGAGGGGACCACTTCTATAGAAACCAAATGACTTGGCAGGTATTTTTCCACCCTCCTGTGACTGCTTATTCTTGTTGCAGCACAGCCAGGCCAGGGCATGGCAGCCTGGAAAGAAATGTCATGCCTGGCTCTGTCACCTCAAGGATCATCGTGCCCTGCACTGGCTGTGATATAAAGGACAGAATTATGGTTTCACTGTAAAACCAAGCAGGGTAAAGCCTTGCTTCACTGTAAAGCCCAGCAAGGAGTTGTCTGTGATGACTGTAATTTGTGTGGCTATTCTGCACCTCAGTCAGCAGGTCTAAGAGAAGCAAGTAAAGGAGTCAGGTAGCCATAATTTTAACACACAGGAAAAGCCAAGCTTTGCTCTAATTTTCCCCTAAAGCTCCCAACGTCCCTGCAGCAGTGAGATACTGTCGTTACCCACACAGTCTCCTTTTCTGTTCCCCTGACTTCTGAGCACAGCGGGCATGCTGGCTCCTGGGGTACAGGACTGGGCTCCCATCACTGTGTAACTCAGTCAAATGAACATCTGCATTTTTTCCTGTAGCTGCTCTTTAAGTTTCCTCCCTGACTCAAAAATCACAGCAAAGTCAAACCTCCACTGTGCAGAAAGTCTGGGCAATTTATTAATGGCTACGAATGACCCTGAGATCACACTGAGCTGGAGCTGCTATAGGGTGGCCATGCTTCATGATGCTTGCAGTGCCAGAAAGAGCCATGAAAATCCTAAGACTCCATCCCTCAAGTCCAAACACCCCTGAAATATTACAGGGATTTAAATACTGCTCTTACCACTAGTGATGGCCATGAAATTGCCTAAGCAGGTGATCTATATATGATATAAAGCTCAGGTTAGGTATTCCTGGGGTGTGATGTAACAAAGCCTCTAGCCACTCTGTATAACTAGAAAGATGTTGAGGAGAGCAAAGTGGTATGAAAGAGAGCTGAAGAGACTAAGTCTTCTCTGGCCAAGAGGTGATGCTGCTTCTGGAGAGCCAGCTCTGATGACAGCTCCATATTTTGCCTGGTCCTACAACTCTTCCAACTCTATAAATCTCAGAAGGTCTCCAGTCACTCATATCCTTATGAGGTTTTTTGTTATGACATGATGAAAGGCAAGGCTGGTGCTCTTTCCAGCGGTGTCAGAAACCCCATGAAAACTCATGGCCACCAGGACCCTCTTTTTACCAAACCTGGTCAGAAAACAGATATATTGGGGAGAAAGTGTTGACTTAAAGAGGTATGATTAAAACTTTCTTTTCAAACTTCAGGCTTGTTTTTTGTACCAATTATGAATGAAGACTGAAGTTAGCTTTTGTTCTATTGATTGAAAAGGGGAATGATATGTGAAACATAGTGGAAAGGACGTGAGATTTTTACAGAGGTGCTCAGATAGGACTGATTCATCATCACTGAGATTTTAGAAGTCTAAAGAAAATCCATACAAAAGATAGGGAAGGTTTTTCAGACCTCAGACATCATCAAAAACACTACTGCTTTTTGAACATAAAAACTCCACACACTGCAAGGAGCCTTTGGATTCCAGCATTTTTAGCTGAACTACTCTTACTATAGGTTTTAGATCTCCCCTCACAGTATCTGTCCCTCATTTCATCATTCTTTTCACTACAACTTAAGAAAAGCAAGAAGCAGGAGGCTCACAACTTACAGTCCTGCCACTCACTGCTCTTTGTAACATCTTCTGAGTATATTTGTTTAGAAAGAAAGAAAAAGACTTTTGATAGTGAGGAAAATCTAGAAAGCAGACCCCTGCAGTTACACAGTCCTGGACCTTGTGCCAGCTTTGTGCCATGGACTGACCAGATCCTGGCAGTCTATCAGCAATCAGATACAAACCTCAACCAGATCCAGATCCCAAACAGTTCCAGCTTGACATTCAAAAGTCCCACAGGCTTACAACTTTACTTTTTCTTATGTGATTGTCTTTCACTTTTGACCTAGTATATATATTAATAAAACAGAGTTTTTTCTTTGGGTAGTAATTTCTCCACCACCCTGTTAGACTGTTGAACCCATGTACACGAGGGATTGGTCCAACAAAACTCACACTGCAGCACTGCAACTGAGTGCAGGCAAAAACAGACTTTAGTCCCCTCTGCCTGTAGATTTGCTATGGTAGAGCCACACCACAGCTGCCTTTCCCTTTGATAAAGTTTTGCAGCCAGCCAAGTTTTAGGACCAATTTGATTTTCTGCAAGCCTGCTTATCAGCCAGTCTTGCTGCCCTTCTCTGTGCCCTCTGAAGGTATGTGCTAAAACCAGTCAGCAGAAGTGGTTCATAATACGTTTCTATAGGACTGGATTCACAAGTTACAAGAGTCCCTCAGCAGATCAAAAGCTGTTTGTACCTAAAATGGAGTAATTAAACCCAGGTCACAGCACAGTGCAGTTCCTGGAGAGGTTTGATTAGCTGGATGGGTCTTGCCCTGCTATTAGGCTGTAATCTGAAACTATGTCCAAGGTGAGCTGAACAATGACATTTGTGTCTGCAGGCATCATTTCTAGTGGTGACCCTGGAGTTTACCTTGGCTGAGATGCCTGGGATCAGGGCTGGCCACAGGAAGCTGCCATCTAATCCTTCCATACCAATTTCTCAGATGGTTCAACACTACCAAAAAGTATTTCACTGGCTTTGCTAAGGGGACAGTGATGGCAGATCCTGTTGGCAAACAGGCAGTGCCACAGGCATTTGATCATCACTACTTTTGATCCTCTCTCTAAGACAACTCCCTGCAGATGAATTCTAACTTTCCTACTGCACACTCTCTTTACGCTACAGCCCTCAACATCAATAAAAACATGTTGACAAATGAGTGTGATAAAGCTAACTAGTACAGCAAATGCCCGAGAATATGTTGGTTTCCTTAGTCTGTAACAATAAAATTAAAACCTAAGAGGGTTTCGTCCTTTGTAGCACATTTAGACTGTATTTCTTCTTCTATTACCTTGGCGAAGATACAAGGCACATGATATTCAATTCGGGTGATGAGGAACCAAAACAGGGCTGTTTTTCTGCTGTTGGCAGCTTGGCAGTCAATCACTGCAGCCCCATGGGAAAAGCTTTCTTCTTCCTGCATCCCTGGAGAAGTGCCCATGACACAGAGCCTCCAGCAGCCTCTGCTCTATCATTCCCCACCCCACAGCACTGCAGGAGCTTGGGGGGGGCACAGCCACTTCACAGGTAGGCTGCACACACCTGAAAAGGACTCACAGCAATCCCCAAAAGCCTCCAGAAGATTAAGGGACAGGTGGCACCCACAGGTCCCAGGGGTGCTGCACGCCTCCCCATGCCCCAGGGACGCCCATCAGCCTGCCCATGTGCTTGCGGCAGTTGTCAGCCTCCCCCAGCAGCTTCAGGCTCTTTCACTCCAGCACTTATTTGCAATATCTACCAGCTCTGACTATTTAAAGCGATCGGAGATTTACATCAGGAGGCTTTAAATATAGAACTAATTTTGTGTAAACTCTTGCCTTTATTGCGGCAAGGAGAAGGGAGGGAAAAGCCTTTCTTTTTTTAGACTTGGCAGGAAACAAGCAGTTAAATAAGTGAATACTATAAAATGAAAATCTTAAAGTGATTACAAGTATGAAAGGAGTGAATATCAAACTGAAACAGCCATTTAATCAAGACAAAGTACAGAAATCCAGCAAGTGGCCTCTTTCCATGATCCCATAGAGATGCAAAAGGAGGCAGCTTACTGTAGCATTAACAATCTCAGTTGCTTGCTGCTCACTGCTGATACCCCAAAGTCTTCCACCCTTTGCAGCTTTTCACATGCAAAATGCCTTCCTTTATGGATCACCCTTGATGTAAAGGGGCTTTAATTATCCAAGAACCAAAATAAAGATGAAAAAGTAATTGCATTTTAATTGCTTTAATAATGGCTGCACTGACTTAAATACTGAAGGGTAAAGATTAGAATACCTTTATGTTAAGATGCATTTCCTTCAAACACAGCTTCTTTGTATTTTGTGCCAGTCTTCCCTCACCCCATAAACATTCACATCAGTGTATGCCACATTTATTCCTAAACTCCTGAGGTGGTTTGGTGTGTTAGACAGTGATATCTGTACGTTGGAGCTTTTTACCATAAGCAATTTTAAGGTTGAGAGATTTTCCTGTAATGTACCAATACCAGACTTCCCAGCTTGAGATATTTGCTTATCCCAGCATCTGAAGACTGGGCAATAACAGCCCTTTGGAGATGGGTGACGGCAGTGGGAGGTTGCAGTGATGATGTTAAATGGTGGGGAAACTATGCTGTAATGCAGGCAGCTCCCAGAGCCTGACAGACAGTATGGCTCTGATGACCCCTGCCACAGGGAACCTTGAGTTGATTTTCCTTGTTATGTGCAATGGGCATACAAAATCCCCAGGATTTTGGAACGGGAGGGGATGGCATTGAAGAGGATTTGTTTTCTCTTCGCTGTACTTTATGTGCCCGTTATGCTAAAGCGTAGGTGGAAACAAATCCTGCCAGTCAGCTGCAGTGGTGGGAAGAAACCTTGCCAGGCAGCCTTTGGCAAGGAAGCTTCAAAAGCCTGACCTATGCTTCCATAACGGCACTTTGGAAATGAGTGTGAAAGTCATTGTTCAATACCAGTGTATCATCTCTGAATGTCTCAGTTGACGGGTTTTCCTTCTGCACGAGGAAGCTTTCTGCTTTTGTTGTCATTTCTGTCACAACAGGAGCTTTAATTCCTCACACCAGCTTCCCACCGCAAACCAGGGCACTCTCTTCTGCACACAGTTCCTCCTGTCTCTACAACACCCAGCAGTATCAAGTCAGACAGAATAAGCTCAAGAAAGGTAAAGATGCAAGCAGAATATAGAGTGAGGTTATTGACTTGGCGTGCCAGACACAGGCTGGACTTGACTCCAGATGTGAGCTGAACAATAACAAAAATCTTGTACTTCATCACCTTTTAAAGTACCTGGAGACATGGCCAAACAATTGCTTCCAGTGAATGATTTCAGGCAGTCATTAGCCTCATACAGAGGGAATAACATATATAAAAAACAGGCCAGTCTACTGTGAGTAGAAAAAAGTTATCAAAACAATTTTTAAGAAACCCTGTAATGCATTGGTGGGAGCAAACCTCATTATCTCCCCCTCTCCCACTCCCTCTTGCTATTCCTCTTCTCTCACTGGTTATGATGCTCAGTACGAGTTCAATACTGATGGGGGTTATGTTGCATTTTCATGAGCAGTCCAGAGGGAAGCCTTGAGGTTATAAAGCTGTTATTATTGGAGTAGTTCATTTCTGCTGGAAGAATCATTAATTCAAATTGCAAATCAAAATGGAAGCAAATTCCTCTATTTATTAAGCAACTAATTTCTCATTTAAATTAAAGCGAAAATAAGCCAGATATTGGCTATGCCTCAGCAGACTCCTGCTCTGTGAGCATTAGAAACCACAGCAGGTTGGACAGACCCAGTTCCCACCAGGAGCAAAACAAGAAGTAAGTCACAATATGGTCCCCCCAGGTGCCCAGTAGACCTACGGACCTGATGATGCTGTTACCCTGAGCTGACCCCTCGGTGCAAAACAGACACGTGAGGAACAGCACAAAAGGCTGCTCTGGGGGGAGATGAAGCTTATTGAGAAAAGATTTTGCTATGCTAAAAGCAAGAGTAAAGTAAATATTATAGACATTCTTCAGCCCCGTGTAATGGGAATACCGCCATAGTTAAGGCTGAATTGCAATTTGCATTCAAAAGTAGAGAGAAATTACCATAGTTCACATTTCAATGAATGAAATTCATCTAATGAATTAGCATATGTTGCTGTGAGACCATTTCCAGTTTCAGAGGAAGCCAAATTTTGTGCACAAGGCTTTAAAAATATTTTCCGGTTTTTGCAGAAATACTCTCAAATGTTCCTTCTTGAAACATCTCCTCTCTTCCCCCACACCACTGCGGAGTCCTGCCCAGGGGAGCCCCCACATTCCTGGGAAGTTTTGTGCAGCCTCTTAGCTTTTGTCCAAGCAAGAAGACCAGTTAAGTCATCTGTGGGCGCATCAACAGGAATGTGTATATCTGCCCTGAGGAAAGGGGATGGTGTGGGGCCAGGTCAGGAGAAGAAGTGGCAGCTATGCAAGACAAGGTGAAGCCCACCGTGAGCAGAGGGTCAGACTACCTCGTCCAGAAATGCCACTGTGCTTCTCCCCAGGAAGCCTGGTGCCCCTGAAAGCAGTGATGCTTTATACATAAAGTACCCTGTAACGCTGTTTACCACTGGTGTACCTACAAACTCCTCAGATAGGAACCAACCAGCACAGAACTTTGGCAACATGAGATCTTGTGAGCTCTTCCATGCTGCAAGGACCCACAGCTGGTCCCCTCCCTCCTACCCTGCTGCAGCTTCATGCTCTGCTTCCTGCAGGATAATTTGGTGACACATGGTAGGGTTTCAGTCTCACATTTAATTGGACACATTAGACTTGAATATAGAACTTAATAGACCAGAAGGAAATAGGGCAGGTGGGGCCAATGGCCACAAGATCTTGAAGCCCAACCCATGGCTATGCTCCTCCATCAAATTTAGCACCTCAATAAGAAAAGTCTCTGCCACTGATTTAAAGATGCTGTGAGCACAGGCAAGGCTTTCTCCCCCTGCATGCAGCTTAGATCTTATGGCTGGTCAGACCCTCTCTGCTGGACTGCAAGGATAAAGGTAAAACTCACCTATGAGCTGCAAGAGCCTCTGAAGTATTTTTTATAACATCCTTAAATGACAAATCACCTGTATTAACTGCAGTGTTTTCAGTGTCACCTCAAAAAAGGGTGTTGCCATGATCCAGCATGGCTGCAAAGCTGGACTTAGTCTCACAAAGCCAAGTTTTCTCAGAAGGTACTTGTATTTCCTGCTCCTTCCTCAAATGCAAATAAAATAAATACCATATTTTTACCATTAAAAATTCAGCACCTATATTGCTTAAGCCATCAAAGCTATTACGAACAAAGTGCTAGCATATTTTAAAGTAATAAACCAAGCACAGTATCTAATAGCAAGGCCACTGCATTGTTCTTGAAAAGTGCAGTAGGAGGATGAAATTATATTTGTGACAAGGGATATCACCTGATTTGAATATCAGCTCTATTAAACAGAAAATAACAAATGCATCAGCTCTACAGCACCTCTGATAGTATGCTGAGGAAAGTATTTGGGAGGGTCAGTAGGTAAAAACTGAACACAATAATTCTCCTCATTGTTGTCTTCATGGGGAGCTCCAGAAGTAATATGCATTTACAGGGAAATTTAACAGTCTATGGAAATTTATTCTGTGAGAATTTTCCTTTCTTCCATGGTAGTTGTTTGGATTTTCTTTTCAGGTTCAGATTATGAAAATGATTATTCAGAAGGGAAAATAGCACTGTACAGATGCCACTTTGCAAACAGTAACTTCAGGAGGAGTAAAACGTTATCATCAGAGAACATGGCAATTTGATTTACAAGTGAGCAGACAGGAAAACGTGACAGCAAGAGAATAAAGATCAGCTCTCACAGCGAGCAGCACCTGTAGCACTGCCATGGGCTGACAGTGCAGCTACTGCAGAGCCTCCTGCTGCACTCACCAGCTTGTGCAGAGTCTCTGCCATTTGCAGAGAATGCAGTGGTCTGTAGAAGATTAACCACGGCAGATATGAAGCTAGCCCAAACTTGCCCTTAGCTAAAGCTTCCTTGAGGCTATACAAAGCCTATTCTGCTAAAGGATAGTTCAAAAGTCTATGTGCTTCTCCAATACTTCCTAAATTCATCTTAACCATCTTACGAGAAGTTTATGTGTCTTTCTAGAGCCCTCTTCACCTCAGCAGGTTTCCACTTCTAAGGCAGAGACCCTTCAAAACCCTTTTTCAATCTGAGCCTCTGCTGGTGACCCTACTCTGTAGCTCACACACCACCCTAAGGGCATATTACAGCCAGCCTGCAGGCAGTTTTAGGAAAGGCATAAGGGAGAACACTTTCACAGAAAGCATCATCAGGCTGTCAGTGGCCTCATTAAGCAGAGGGCACCTTGGTCCCCAGCTGCAGAGGGAGCAGTGTGTGGGCCATTAGCAAAACCAGGGCTGCCCAGGACACATCACAGGCTGCTGTGGGACTTACAGCAGGATGAGACTCACTGCCCTGGCAAAGGAAGGGGCAGAGAGCAGGCAGGTTAATTAGTTCATACTTTTAATTAATTTACCATTGCTAATAGATGTTACAGATATAGTCCTGGATTCTTGCTTATCTGACAGGGTACATTTACTACATGTCAAATGGCAGGGTATGATTTCCCAACCATTTCTGCCCACATGTGCACAGGCAGTGTTCCTGCGAGCTGTGTCTAACTGGTAGAAAGTACTTTGGTCTCCAAGCCTCATCTTCTCCTCTTCAGACTGACCACTAATATGGTCTCAAGCAGGCTCCTCTACACTGGACTGTGATGTGCTCTCTGTGTGTTTGAATGTGCTGCTTTGCCTCTGCGTGCGTGCACTGCTGGGATTTCTTGTTATTGCTGGAAACAGTCATGTTTGAGGCTGCCATCTTTTCTTCCATTCTGCTCTCTTTAACAAAGGAGGGAAGGAGCTGTTCACTGTCTGCAGTGAGACCTGACCTCAGGTAGAGCTGCTGAGAGGGCAGGAGCTGATCCCAAGTCCTACCTCATCCCTTCCCACATCAGGCTGCCAGCGCCAGCACTGCTCCTGCCACAGTCAGACTGCAGCTCTGCTGTTTCTGCCCTGATTGCCATCCTCCCAAAGCACAGACACTTGCTTAGGTTGAAGCATAAAGGGAGTCTCACTGATATAAAGAGATGCACATGGATTTCAAATTAGTCCTTTGGACACATGTCTGCAGGAGCAGGCTTCTGCTCTGCAACCAGCACAGCCTCAGGAGGCAGGCTCTGAACCCCCCTAAGCTGTCACACCACCCATAGGAGTTGTACCACAAAAGAGCAGATTTTTGCCCCAGAAATTAGCAGCTCACCACACTGAGATGTCTGCCACGTTTCCCAGCAGCTGAGGCATTGTGATTGCTTACAGGTAAGCCAGTGGTGCCCTGGATTTGTACTTCAGCAATAGGCTCACATCACTGGAGAGGTTAGGTTAGAAATCCAACGTCAAGTGAAGAATGGTATTTCTGTTTCTTCCCTGCTGCATGAGGGGAAACTGGAGGAGAAAGAAGAGGTGAAAGAATCAGACCTGAGTGCTTCCAGCAATAATTAATAGCAAATGTGAGCAGCACACACAGAGGGCTCCACAGCATCCATGCAGAGGAGCATGTTTGAGCCGGAAAGCTAGCCACTGAGACTGTTGAATCAGCAGGGAATATTGATGTGATTAACAATGATTTGATTTGGAAATCAATAGGAAGGAGATTGTTTGCTTGCTTTGTCCAATTTAGTCCATGAAATACTGGCTTCAATACAGGGAGAAATTCAGACGAAGCAGGAAGGGGATTTTGAGGAGGGGTGGAATGGGGTGTGTTTGTTATTTTATCAGACATCCGTCTGGATTCTAGCTGGTGAAAACTTGAGCATTCAATCAAGTGTTTTATGTGTGTCTATAATAATCCGAACAAAGGAACAGCTGACAGCTCATGATCATTTAAAGATAGAGCAATTTCTATTTAGCAATCTTGTGAATGCATTTTCTGTATGTACGTGCAAGGCTTCCTAATCGTTCTGTGGGTTTTGTTGCAGCTTGGCTGCAAATGAAACACTATGCATTTACAGGAAACCCAGCACAAACACTAAGTCTTTAAGAGGAATATTAAG